CACAACTACCTCGATCTGTTTCTGCTTATTAATCTTGTTCTATTCAATATGCTCACTATCAGTAATTACTTTATCTCTGTGTGGAAGACAGATCAAGAGATGTACATTGGGATACCAATACCAGTAATACAGTTAGTTCTAATGCTAAGTCCTATTATTATTATGCTTGCCATACCTATCGTCTATTTTACTGGAGGAAGAATCAAAGTTCTATGGAACAAACGCTTAGAAAGATTGGATGATTTGAATGCAAGTTTTCCTGCTCGTTTGTTGGAAGATAGTATTCAAATGACAGAGTCATACAGAACCTTTTAATGTGTGCATGTTCTACAAGCTGCTTGTGTGTACATTCTTTTATTTGTTATTTGTTATTGTAGCACAGCTGCCCATTGTATTAGTTCCAATTAGATTGTGTCAGCATTTATTTTATTTGTTTACTTAAGCATGCATTTATGGCATAGTTAAGGGATGGCTACTCTATATGTGTTATACATAGTAATTTTGGCATAGTTTTTAATATGTTTAAAATTTAGCACTTTTACTATTGATTAGGCTTTGGATATACGCTAAGTCCAATTTGTCAACAACAATTACATTAATTGGTGTGTTTAATAATCAAATAGATGATGAAGGAAAATAAGAAAGTAGATGGGGCTACACAAGTGAAATTTTTTCTGTAGCCTAATAAGTAGAAGAGAACTAAGACAAATGGTATCAATTGTGCATGGTAGCCATTTAGAAAAGGGTTCAATTCCTACTTTATAACACTTAATGATTATCACAATAAGTGACTATATTATTTGTTCTGCCTAACCTATATGTAGTTGTAGATTTACTGCCCACATCTTTGGCATTCAGTTCAAGTAAAAGCAGAAAGAATTATGTATACACAATTTTGATAGTTTTCTTTCACTTTATTGAGTTTCTCTTGTAATTTTTATTGAGCTGTGAGCTATTGTATAAACTGAAAGCAAACTTTCTGTGCATGGTATTCCCTAGTGGACCAGTGCTATAAAATATGTTTCCTAATCCCACTGCTATAATCAATTCACAACTTGCTCTTGTGTTAAAATGGTAAAAGATATTTTGCTTCTCCTTTTTCTTACATCACACATGCGTGCAGTGGAAGCGGGATCATGTAGCTATATGAGTGGGAATGTCATAACCCACTTCAGACATGTCTTGTACTTAGGAACATTACATTACACATGTATACAATAACAGGCGATGATGTTTTTGAGCCTTTGCTTTTACTTTCTATTGAGCTTCTTCAGGTAATTTGAATGTCATACAAACTGAAAGCTAACATTATGTGTTATTCCCTAATGGAGGATGGTTTATATATTCTAATCCCACTATTATAATCTGTTAGCAGCTTATACTCTTGCGTTACAATGGTTAAAAATATTTTGCTCCTTTTTCTTCTTCATAATGTATCAACTCTTAATGTCAGGATTGATGGTAATAATGGAATCGATTCGATTGAGTGTCTTACAGGACAACCACAGTCTTCCTGTCAGTCATTGAAATATGTAGCTGATACTATTAACAACACTAGTAACCTCACAATAGAGATCATCAGTCCTACTCTTAGTCTACAAGGTAGTGTTATATTCACTGATATTAATGGACTAACTATCAATGGACAAGAAGAATCACTAACAGCCATTCAAGTGCAGTCAGTTACAGCTGGTATATCTTTCCTACATTGTGGAGAGATAGTACTTGCTAACTTTACTCTAAATACTGTCACTGAATCTCTCCTTTATGATTCCCATCTTATATCAGAGGATCAATGCAACTTTATTCCCAATGGCAATTATTCATTGTTCTTTCTAAATCCCAAGAAGCTAACGATTAAGAATTGCAATTTTACAAGCAGTAATGATACCCATACAGCATTGAATGGTGTACTAATCGAACTGTTTAACACTAAAGGCACAGCAAGTATCTCTGTTGACAATGTTATTTTTTCTAATTTTAGAGATGCATTTAAGGTTTTGCTTGACAAGTCATTTTACAATACGCTTAACATTGAAAATACAGAATTCGTTAATAATAGAATTGGTTTTGATGTAATTGCTATTAAATCAAGCAATAATAGCATAAGTGTCATTGCCAGTCAGTTTAATGAAAACAAGTATCAAGGTTTAAAAATATCCTATGAAACATCATGTAGTAACAATTTTATGATATTTGGATGTACCTTTTCCTATAACACTGGATGCAATGGAGTCAGTATAGATTTAGCTTTAGCAATGAACAGCACTTCAAATATTTTTCGTGGCATTGGAAGTCGATTCATTCATAATTCAGCAAAGTATGCTGGAGGTGGTGTCAACATTAATTTATCACCACCATTAGAACCTATCACTTATCCATCAAACAACATAGTTATCTTTCAGTTTTGTGATTTCATTAATAACAGTGGCAGCTATGCTGGTGGTGTGGGTATTGTAATAGCATCTGTCAGTTTAGTATATAAGAAAAAGCTCAATTATATTAACTTTGATTCTTGTAAGTTTAATCATAACAAAGCATCAAGTGGATCAGCAGTTCATATCAACAGTAACATAGGAAGTGAGTCTGGCACTTTTTTTGTGGCACTTGTTTACTTTTATAGATGCAATTTTTTTGGCAATGGACAATATCATTTTAAATCTAGAGCTAATGAATTAACATTGCAAAGTGGAGCATTCTATGCTAACAAAGCTCAGGTCAATTTTGGTGGTAAGACCCAGTTTGCAGACAATAACAGTACTGCATTACAAGTCTCTGATACAAATATTGAATTTAAAGACGACTCTACAACAATATTCAAAAACAACTCTGGTATTAAAGGTGGTGCTATTCTTCTCACAGGTGACTCTGAGCTGTATGTAAAGTATAATACCTCAATTATATTCAATGGTAACAGAGCTGTGTCTTATGGAGGAGCTATTGCTGTACTCCATTTACAAGTACAAAATCTTGCATACAGTGACAAATGCTTCTTGTCAGTTAATTTCCACACAAAAAATGACTACAACTCCAAACCTATCTTCAATTTTACAGACAACAAGTGTAATTCAGATTTTGGAAATGACTTGTTTATATCAAATTTGGAATCCTGTAGAGCACAATGCAAGACATTGTCACATATGCACAATGTTAATATAAATGATATTTTTTCAAGGAAGTGTTTTGGGACTTTTAACTTTAGTGCTCGCTCAATAGCAACACCAACAAAGAGTTTGTCTGTGTCTCAAGTAATAAATGCTATACCAGACATTCCAATGAAACTCAATATCACTGCAGAGGACATGTTTGAAAATGACACCAGTGCTTTGTTTCCATTAATATTGACTTTAAGTGGTAGTGGTACAAACAGCATCAGGATGAATCCACATGTTATTACAACCAACATACACATGACCTTTTATGGCAATCCTCATGAGACCACCCAGTTATTGATACAGACTGAGACTATGACCAGTATTAGTGTTACTGCTAAATTAAACCTCATAGATTGTCCTCCTGGCTTCATCTTTAACAAAACTGGTTTTTGCTTTTGTTCTGCTTTGAGCAAAAACCGCTATCAAGGTATACGCTATTGTACCAATAATTTTTTAGAAATTACAGCTAATTATTGGGCTGGATACTTGAACATCAGTAATGCAAGTGATGATACATTCGTAACTGGACACTGCAGCATCAAACTTTGCAATTATAATAATACTAAGCACAAGTTTGGATTTTATCAGTTACCCATTGATTATGACCAGAAAAAATTGGATGAGATTGTATGCAGCTTCAACAGAACTGGTACACTCTGTACTCAA